CAGCAGCGTCTGTCACAACAGCACATCCCACGTCCTGGGCCCCAGGAATTGCCTCCGCCATTTCCAGTAGAGGAAGTCTCATAGATGGGCTCAAGGATGCAGCTCCAGCACCTGACGCCAGGGCGAAACCTTGCAAACCCCTGAGAAGGCCGTTGATCGGGGACTGAGTCAATTAGGAGCCATCCGTCCAGCTGGACCCTTTATTGTAATTAGAGTCTGGCAGCTCCCAGGTGCTGTCTCGGGCAGATAGGTCCCCGCCACATGGGGTGAGCGGAGGAAACAAGTACAACCACTTATGGATTGACTCCAGGCGAGCTTTCAGAACCCCACGCAATGTGCACTTGTGCATAGATGCAGTAACAATGGAGGAAGAAAACACTCCCAAATGACCCAGGAGTTAGCCCTTGGCGGGCTTTGGGATGAGCAGGTGCCTCTAAGGGAATTTCACTTTGCCTTAGTGTAAATACTGTACCCCACGTGGGCCTTTGTCACCCGCTTAGATACGCAGAAAGCACATGCCAACGCCACGTGCGGATTCAGGGCTGACCCACACTCGGCGAAGGCCCAAGGGCATTAATTACGACTGCAGGAAGGAAGGTGTCTCGGTCGATGTTCCCAATTCCTGAAGTCTGGACTCAGCCAGGAAAGCCCCTCAGGTGAGCGCGCGGCTGATATCCCTCTGTGTTTGGGAGGGACAGAAAGAAACCACTCAGCCTGGCTGGGCCCAGGCAATGGCCCACCTCTGCTGGAAGAGCTGTCTGCCAAGAAAACTATTGAACTACATAAAAATCCATCCCTGAAACCCCAGAGGCGTCCTTAGAGTGGAGCATGGCCTTTAAATTAGAATTTTTTTTAAGGCAGTTTCTGCCTGTAACTTGATTTCAGGTTAGTGGTGGCTGGTGGCCAAAGGACAGTGGCCGCCCCTGGCTGGGGCCGCCGTGCTAAGGGAACCCAGGCCCCTGGAGGCTGTGTGACCAGCATGAGTTCCCATGGAAACTGCTGCAGAACCTCTGGAAATTTTTGCTGGGGGATGGGTGGCGTGGCTTCCCTCCCCCCCCCCATCAAGTCCCTGGGCCAGATTTCCTGGGTTGATTTTCTCAAATAAATGCTGAAGGAGCCAAAGGAGTGGCTGGAGAGGCAGAACCCGGTGGTCCATTTTGAGTCATTGGCTGCCCTGGAGGGACAGGCCAGAGAGACTGAGGGTGTCAGGAGTTAAAATGATTCAGGTGCCCTGAGGCTCCAGAGAGGGTGGCACAACCTAGGGCGGCAGAGCAGGCTGGATTCCTGGTGGGGGTCCCACCAGGGCAGGGCTGGCCAGACGCAGGGCAGCACCCGCTGAGACCCCAAGAAGCTCACTTCACCTCCTTCCACAGAGGGGCTGCCTGGGCTTCTCCACCCACCCTACGGCCCTGTCCAGCTCGTCCACCCCCAGGACTGCTCATGGCTATCCTTCCTGAAAGGTCGCGGTGCCCCTGCCCTGGGTCTCCCCTGCTCTGTCCCCTCCCAGCTGCCTTAGCTGGGCACTCGGCACCCCTTCCCTCTCTGCTGGCTTTGCCCCACCCCCGCTCAGGGCAGCCCAACCTGTCCAGAGTGTGCTGCTTCTTGGCGGGCTCCTTAAAGAGGCGGGAGGCCACTGAAGAGCCTGGGCCCCCACCTCCCAGGAGACCCCGTTTAGCAGCCGCCCTCCACACCGCCCTTAGCAGCCCACTTCTCCCGAAGGATGATCTCAAAGGAAACGCACACGTGCTGAGCTTCCGCACGAGCCAGGGAGTTCCCCGTCTGTCCTCTCCGAGACCGAGCGCTCTCGACTGTCACTGCATCCAAGTGGGTGGCAGAGCCTTGCTCGTGCCCACAGGACTGCCAGGAGCTGGAGCTGGGATTCGAGAGGCCCAGCCGCCACCAGCCCCATGCAGCTCCTGAGCCCGCTCTCAAGGAGCCCGCTCTCAAGGAGCCCACATTTACGGCCCTCTCTGCACCCTCTTCCTCCCCTGCTACCGGCACTCTGCTCCCTGAGGTCTGCGGCCTCAGTCCCAGGTGCTGGGGAAGGGGGGCTCGGTCATCTCTGCTGCCCAGTGGAAGTCCCAGGACATTCTCCCCCGCCACATGCCCCAGCCCGTTAGGGTCCTGCCCTTCCCCCCGCTCCCTCCCTTTCTGCCTCTCTCTTCACTACAGAGACCTCAGCACCCACCGCCCTCCCAGCCTTGTCCCAAGCCAGGCTCGGCAACCACTCTGGCAAAGTCTGAGTCCACCAAGGAGTGATAGGTCAGTGCCCGAGGGCCTCATGGGCCCCAGGGAGGAGCTGGGATTTTAATTCAAGTGAGGTGGAAACTGTGAGGTTCTGAACAGGCGAGGGGGAAAAACATCAATCTTTTTTCTTTAAAAGCTTATTTCTTCTGTGAGTGAAAGAGCGATAGACAGCACCCACACAGAGTCCTGGCCATGGGCCACCTCCAGCTTCAGCCGGCCCTGGCTCACAGGCCCACACGTGCGGTGCACTCAGGGAGGTCTCCGGACACAAACCCAGCACTCTCCCATGTGGTCAGCCTTGCAGAGTGCTATTCTGCCACCGTCCAGCCCCCAGTGTCAGTTTTACCAGGAAATCTAGCTATTTTCATTTGTTTTTGTTTTAATTTTTGGTATAGGGCATGTGCGCTCAACAGAGAAAGAGAAGGAAAGTGAGAAATCACCCCCCGGGGGAGTGGCCACATCACATCACAATCCCTTCTCCTCTTCGGATTCATGGGCACACACACACATGCCTGGTGTGTTTTTCAGGCTGCCGGGTTCAGGACTTGAACTGTGAGATCAGTCATGAGGCATCCAACTACCTTAAACTCCACACCACCGAGCTGGCCCAGACCTGGCTGCTTTGAGAAGAGGGACGCAGGGAAGGAAGAGCAGCTCCAGGGAGGCTGCGGTGGGGGTGGGGCCTGGGCCTGGGCCTGGGCCAGGGCAAAGCAGCAAAGTTCCCCCCAGGTCCCCTCACTACCCCTGGAAAAGGAGTCATGTTGTCCAGGGGCTGAGGAGAGCAAGCCCAGGAGGTAGGGAAGGAAGCCCAGGAAGGTGGGCTCCATCTTCCTAGGGGGGTTCATTATATCCTGAGCAGCACTGCCCCCCCCATGCCAACCCAGCCCCCACCTCAGACTGTGGGAGTCGGGAGCCTGGCAGGCAGCTCTGTACACAGCGAGACTCACTCCTCTTAAACTGGCCTGAAGTTCAACCCTGCTGGAGAACTGGCTCCTCCACTCAGCCCCATAACCACTAAGAGCCCTCGCGGGCTATCCTCACAGGCCAAGGCCCAGAACCAAGCAGGGAGGCCGCTGGCCAACCTGCAGACCCGGGGGGCCTAATGCCACACCAGCAAAGCTCCAGGGGACTTTGACTAGAGGCCAGTCTGTGCTCCCCGACTACCTTGCTGCCTTTCTATCCCTGCAGCGCAGAAGGTGGACCACGCTGCTGGGGCCAGGTTCAGGCCTGCACCTTGGGCACCCTCCCACACCAGGCACATTTGGGGCTTGGGGACCAGAGCAGTCAGGGAGCTTCGGGGCAGCCAGGTGGTGGGGAGGGAGGATGGACCAGCCTTTTTCACGAATGAGCAAACAGTGGGACAATGAAGGGGGGAGGGGCAGAACCTGACAGCCTGGGTGGCCATGACCCTTCTCTGCCGGCCAGGGGAACAGAGGGGATGGGTCTCTTTATGTTGCAGAGTGACATGGACATTAGGAGCTGCAGAAATGGCTTCAAGTGGCCGGAGTTTGTGCAACACGGGTGCAGGAGCAGAACCCAGAGGCAGCTGGTCTGGCCTCAGTCCGCAGGAGCCTGGGTGGTCGGTGTTGGGCAGGTAAAGATGGGAGGGGACGGGATGAAGCCACAGGTGGCGAGGACAGGCCTGGACAGACGGAGGGCACCCTGGGGCTCTGGAGTAGATGGAGGAGCAGCTGGGGCCTGAGGAGTGCCTTGCCGCTCCCGGATGGACGTGAGTGCAGTGCTGGGGGTCCAGCTCCTGTTCAGCCAGCACCTCCTTCCTCTGCCCCGACCCCAGACATCTTTTTTCTCACCAGGCTGACAAGCACCCAGCCACCTCCTCGGCCTGCACATCTGGCCTGAGCTTCTCTTGCCCACACCCCACATGACCACACCAGTACGGGGCCTTCAGCCTGGCTGGCCGCTGGGTCACAGTCGCCCATCTACTCGCCAGCTCCCCGGTGCCCATGCGCAGCACTGACAAGGGCCATGCGAGGTCTGGGGCCCTTAGGCCACTCATGGTCTGTCTTGTGGGCCATGGTACAGGCACCATGAGAGACCAGCAAGGGGTGAGGAGGACCTGGGGACAGGCAGTGTCTGAGCGAGCTCTTGAAGGCTGCATGGAACTCTGCTGTGGGGCATAGGGTGGGGAAGGGCCTGCCTGGCAGAGGGAACAGCCCTGCAAAGGCTCAACAATGTGAGGCGCTGGGTGGCCAGGAGTGGAGGGGCGAGGGCTGGGGGCTGGCCTGGTACAGCTCAGTCCTGGAGGGAGGGCTGTCTGGGGCTTCCACTGCAGGCTCAGAGCCAGGGCACTGAAGCACATCCTAGAAATTTTCATAGACCAGGTTAAATTCACTGTCATCCTCATATCCATGCAGTCTCCCCTGGATAAAAAGAAAGAAAGAAGCAGAAAACAGTTAGGTAGGATAAGCACACAGAGGCAGAAGGGGCTTTCTTGCGTGGCTCTGCACTTTGCAGAAACCTGCCCCAGCCCCATGGCCACCTGGGCTCCCGACCTCATCTCACCTGCCACCCAGCCTAGCCACATGGGCTCCCCTTCCCTGCCTCAGCTTCCCACAGGAACATGCTGTTTCTTTCTTTCTTTCTTTCTTTCTTTCTTTCTTTCTTTCTTTCTTTCTTTTTTAAGAGGTTTTTGCTATAGGGCGCGTACGTTTGCTGGAAAGACAGAGACAGAAAGCGAGAAATCATCCCCGGGGGGATGGCCAAACTACAATCCCTTTTCCTCCATTCTCCTCTCAGGATCTTGGGCATGCACATACACACAAACACACTCGTGCTTGGCAGGAGTTTAAGCCCCTAGGTCTGGGACTTGAACCGTGGTCGACTGTGGTTGGACTACGTGGGAGTCCAGAGACGTAACCATTACACCATCTGCTGGTCCCAAAGAACATGCTGTTTCCTGTGTCTGGGGTTCTGCCCACCCCACCTGCTGGCTCTGACTCCCTCCTACTCGCCCTGCAAGGGATCCCCCTCCCCAGAGCGAGCCCCTCCCAATCTGCATGTGTCTCCTGACCATGGGGTCGGTGGCCCTCTTCCCACAGTCTAAGGCCCCTAGTTCTCCTGTCTAGCAGCCCAGGACCTGTACAGGGGAGGCACTGCCTGAGATGGCCCCACATCCTTGGGGGTTCCAGGGTCGGGAAGCCTGCTGGTAGTCAGGGCCTAATTTAGAGCTGAGCATGGAAAGGGTTTAGAGAATAGGTGAATCAATGGTGCCAGCCCGGGCTGGGGAGGGCCAAGCACCAGCCCTCCTGCCCCTGTGCTCCCTGACAACTCTGCCAGGTGCCCATGGGCTCCTGTGTCAGCTCCCCAACACCTGGCATTTCACAGCGTTCCAAGTCTTGGTGTGGTTGTTTCTCAGCTGGGAACTCATTTGAATTCAGGAGCAGTTGGTGCTGCAGAAAAGCATTGCTCTCCCACTTTACAGATGAGTAAACTGAGGCTTCGCGGAGCGGACGTGGAGCCAGTGGAGGGCTCAGTGGTAATACAACACTCTGCAGTGCTAGGCCCATACACAGAGGTCCTGGGTTCTCATCCCAGGGTCTCCTTGTCCACACCAGGTGCACTCGCACGTGCCCACGATCTGGGCTGGATGATCACAGAGGGGGACGCTGCTGGGAGTGCCTGTCTCTCTCTCTCTCTCTCTCCGTCTCTGTCTCACTCATGGAATAGATGAATCAATAAACTTAGGTGGAAAAAGAAATTGATTAGTATCGTGAGGCCTATCAGAGCCCTGGCCAGGTCAGCCTAAGTGGCACCAGCTCACACCACAGCTTCTAACTCCAGCCAGTACCAGCCTGGGGGTAGCTAGAAGCCTGACTGGCCAGTGTAGATAGTGTGCCCAGCGGTAGCCAAAGATGCTCACATGCATGGCATCTCCTGGGCCCAGGCAGCCCCCTCCGCACACTCTGTCCTCACGGCCCGTCTGCAAGGGGGTACTGTTAGGCTCCTCAGTCTATAGATGAGATTTGGGCACTTTGCGCAGGGGGGCCAGCTGCTGAGGGATGGAGCAGGCCCCGCTCCCCGGCTGCCTAATTAACCACCCAGGAAGAGGACTGGCACTGGGTGGCAGGTGGCTCACTCCTACGTCCTGTGTCACCCCCTTTCACAGATGGCACGGGTCAATGGAAGGAGAGGAGGAGCCGAGCTTCACGTCCCCCGGCTGGGGCTGCTGGCCCTGCATGTACCTGAGAGGGAGGGCTCTGGGGGAAAGGTGGGCCGTCAGCCTTGCTCTCGATGCAGGCGTAGACCTCGGTGTCCTGGCGCTGCAGGGCCTGTGGAGACAGAGCGGCAGGGTCAGTGCTGGCCCCAGCAATGGCCTTCCTGTCCATTACAGACCCCACCGAGGGAGCCTGGGAGGCAGAGCCTTGTCCCATACATCTGTCCTCAGTCACCTCACCCCTTCCTTGCTTTTACAGGGCAGCTCCTCTCTGCTCCCCAACACCCCTCTCCAGGACTTCCAGCCAGGCCTGGTGGTCAAGCCCGTGGGCTCTGCCCAGGCTTCCGCCTATCTGGGGAGAAGGAGGGCCCAGGCCCACTCCCACCACCTCGCCTGCCCTCAGGCAGCCAGCATGAGGCCCGTCGCCGTTGCTCCAGTAGGACGCCCTTCTAACACCCACCCTGACACCCCTAGCTCAAAGCCCCTGTCCCTGTGAGGGGCCCTCCCATCGACCCACAACCTCTCGGTCTCCCCTGGCCCACCAACCAGCTCAAGCTCAGGGATGACCCAGGCCCCTTTGGAGTCACAAGCCCAAGCCCTGCTAGGCATGCAGGCCCCGCCTTCTCCCCCAACCCATCACTTTCTTTTCACCCCCCGTGACCCTCCTGGGGCCCCTGGGCTCCAGTCATTACCCCTCGGAGGTCTCCGGCTCTCACTGCCCACTCTCGGGCCCAGCCCCATCGCAGCCCGAGCTTCCACCCCAGTGGGGGACTCAGTTGGGTGGGGGCGCCGAGACGCTGGCCTCGGCTCCCGCACTGGGTGATGTCAGAGCCACCCTCCCCACCAGCCTCCTGCCACACCAGGAGTGCCCTGAACACAGAGAAGTCTGGTTTGCCCCTGGGCTCCTGTCCTGCAGGGTGCTAGGCACCCAGAGACGGTGCTGAGTGAGCAGCGCGAGGGCTCCACGCCAGGGCTGCATTCGCTCGGCCCAAGTGCCAGAGGCCTGACCAGAGACCTCGAACGGGAAAAGAATCAGCGCTTTGGGGGTCAGGCGAGGCTCAGGTGAACTCGGCTCTGACATCTGCCAACCACTGGCAACCCCTTAACCTCTCTGGGCCTCAGTTTCCCCATCTGTAAGTGAGCAGAGTCACTCTATCGGAGGCTCGGTGCGTGGTTAAATGAGATAAGGGGCATAAAGTATCCTGCGGTCAGGCAACAGCGGGAGCCTCATCTGCAGCTGAACGGCCACTAGGGACCTTTCCACAGGTCACAGGTCACAGCCCAGACCCTGCCTCAGACCTGCTGGGCTCCTGAGCAGAGCCCGCCAACAGCCCAAGCTAGATGCGGAAGCCTTTCCCTCTGGAGTGTGCGAGTCATATGGATGCCGGCTGGTTGCCAAGGAGGCGGTTTCCCTGGCAACAGGCAAGCAGGGGTTGCTGAGGCAGGCTGCAGAGACAGGTGGTGATAAGAGGCGGGGGAGGGGGGAGGCAGAGGGAGGAGGGAGGGGGCTCTGAGAGGCAGCCGGGCGTGCACCCCGCGTAATAAACCATTTGGCGCTTGGGAGCCCCTCACTTCAAGGGCATCAGACACAGAGCTGGGGGATGGCCCTGGGGTCTCTGAGTCAGAACGAGGGTGGGTCCCAGGAGAGGGGCTTCTGGCCTGCCTCTGGTCGGAAAGGGGGCAGGGTTGCCCCAAGGAGAAACCCCATTTGCAGGGAAAGGGACTTCCATGGCCTGCCCTGGCTGCCCAGAATGCCAGCAGCCCTGTGAAGCCTGGCCTGTGGGGTGAGATGTGTGTCTCAGCAGCTCTGCACCCCCTACTCTGACCCCACAAGATCCCTGAGGTCTGACAGGCTGGAAAGCCCCTCTGAGCTGGACATTTGTAGTCACAGAGAGAAGGGAGAGAAGGAGACCCCTTGCCAGCATGTGGGCAGGGAGCAGGCCTGGGGGCCCACCTGTGGTGTCCTCTTCCTCACCTCTAGCCCATATGGGGCACTGCGCCCTGGGACCCCCGCAGGCCACCAGCACACAGTGCAGGCTGGTGGAAGTGCTGCCGCCAGGCAGGCACTGTGGGGCTGGGGCAGGGGAGGCTGCAGAGCTGGCCACCAATTAGCAGCTGCCAGTGAAGCCTTTGACAAGTCCTGACCTGCTGGCTGCATTTGCATTCCGGGTGTCACCTGCACCACCGGGCTGTGAAATGAAGGGTGCAGCCTTGTCAATAGGATACCCTCCGAGCCTCTGAGCCAGCCAGCCTGGCCTCACTTGGGCAGTGTGCTGGGCCAAGGCTGCCAGCCTTGCCATGGGCTGCTGGGGGCGAGGCTGGGCCGGCCTGAGCCAGGCCATCCTGGCTGTGCTCCTCTGGACGAAGCTGGGCAAGGCTGAGCCGGGCCGGCCTGGGCTGGGGCTGTGTGGGGCTCTGCTGGCCTGGGCTGGGGCTAGCCAGGGACCATATGTCTGGGACTCTGGCCCTTCAGGCCCTTTTGCCTCCTGCTGCCCAGTGAGCCACATGGCCATCCTGACAGTGGTATGAAGCCAGGGCCAAGGCTGCCTTGGGATATGCCAAGGCCAGAGCTGAGTCAGCCGTGCTGCCCAGCCTGGTCTGAGGGCCTGGCACGGGAGCCAATGGGTGAGATGTGGGCGTGCAGGGCTCAGTGGGCCCACTGAGACCCACTGCTGTGTCGGGGGGGCAGGCCTGGGACTCCAAGCCCAGGAGCTGGCAGCAGAGAGCCACCGAGGGTTTTTCTAACAGTGCATCAGAGTCTGTGCAGCAAGGAATGGAGGGGCTGGAGGCTGAGAGCGAAAAGGACACCCCCCACACAGAGGCTAGAGGACACCAGCTAGGCAGGGCTGGGGGCAGAGCAGAGGGAGGTGTCTAAACACTGTTGAGGGAGAACGCGGACCAGCATGATGACTCTCGACATGCCACAGGGTGCCCCCTGTCCCTGGGGGTTCCCCATGGAACCCCGGACATCCTGGAAGGTAAGGACCGTCTAACTTGCAGCATCTACTGTGTGTGGAACACGGCTGGTGTGTGCAGGGAGGGGCTCGGACTGATGATGATCGTGTGAGTAAAAGGGGGCCATAGGGACCAGCAGCTGGCGTAATGGCTATGTCGCTCGACTCCCACGTAGTCGACTGCAGTTCGAGTCCCTGACCCGGTGGCTTAAACTCACGCTGGGTGCGTGTGCATGTGTGCCTAAAATCTCAAGAAGAGAATGAAGGAGAAGAGATTGCAGCATGGCCATCCCCTCTGGGGGTGATTTCTCACTTTCTGTCTCTGTCTCTGTCTTTCTGGCGAGAGCATGTACCACATGTACAAAAAAACCTCTCAAAAAAAAAAAAAAAAAAGTCGGGGGGGAGGCGTAGGGTTCTGGAGAGACCCGAATAAGAAGTGGGAGGTCAAGGTGGGAGAGGGGACGAGAAGGCTACAATTGTAAACGGGATGCCGGGGAGTCCACGCTGATGGTTATATCTGAGCAGACAGCTGAGGGAGTGCCAAGCAGCCCATGCGCAGCTGCAGGTTTTTTCCAGCAGAGAGAACTGCAAGCACATCGACCCTGTGGCAGGGGAGTGCCTGGCGCAGGGACTCAGCAAGGAGACAGAGGGTGATGTGGACAGAGAGAGCTGGGAGCCCCGGCGAGGGCTCTGCCCTGAGTTGAGGACCATGGAGCTCATAAGAACTGCTTGCAGACCTCGGCCTTTGGTGCTTGCAGCTGACTGAGGGCCCCCCGGCCGCTGGGCCCTGAAAGCTATCGTAGCATTGGCTGGGAGGCCCCGTGCCCCAGCCTGGGCACTCTGTCGCCTTGCTGAACCCAGCCCAGGACCAGGAGCAGCCTTACACCACAGTCTTCCCCAGCTCCCTCCTGGCTTTCGGGATGGGGAAGGTTCTAGCGCAATTACTGCTCATCTGATCCGGCCTCGGTGCCAGCTGCTCAGAGGACCCGGACTCCCTGAGGGCCCCAAGTGGGAGGGCAGGATCTGGCTGTGGTTCACCAGGATCGCTCTGGCTGCGGCCACGCAGAAAGCAGGTGAGACTCAGGTGAGAACCTGCAGTGGCTCCACAGTGTCAGCCCCAGAGCAGTGAGAAGGGTTGGATTCTGGACACCAGTTTTTGTTTTGTTTTGCTTTGTTTTGTTTTTAAGAGAGAGAGTTTTGCTCTAAGTGTGTGCATTTGCTAGAATGAAAGAAAGAGTAAGTGAGAAATCACCCCTCCACACCCGGGGGATGGCCATGCCGCGATTCCTTCTCCATTCTCCTCTCAGGATTTTGGGCATGCACATACACACACCAGATTGAGTTTCAAGTCTCCGGGTCTGGGACTCAAACTACGGGCAGTCACGTGGGAGTCCAGCACCTTAACCACTATGCCACTTGCTGGCCCCTCTGGACATCATCTGAAGCAAGATCTGTTGATGGACAGATATGGTTTGAAAGAGAAAAGGAGGGGCCAGCAGGTGTGTGGTGGTCAAGACAGCGGGATCCTGGGAACCAGCAGTTAGCGTAATGGCTATGTCTCTGGACTCCCACGTAGTCGACCGCGGTTCACATCCCAGACCTGGTGGCTTAAACTCACGCCGGGTACATGTGCGTGCGTGCCCAAGATCCCGAGAGGAGAATGGAGGAGAAGGGATTGCGGCGTGACCATCCCCCCTGGGGGGTGATTTCTCGCTTTCTGTCTCTCTGTCTGTCTCTGTCTGTCTGGCGAGCGCACGTGCCCTACAGCGAAAACCTCTCCAAAAAAAAGAAAAGAAAAGAAAAAGAAAAAGACAGCTAGATCCCACATAACCGGCTGTGTGGTTTGAGTCCAGGACCCGGCAGCTTGAGAAACATGTCAGGCATGTATGCGTGTCTGCCCAAAATCTCAAGAGGAGAATGGAGGAAAAGAAATTGTGGTGTGGCCATTCCTCCTCCCAGGGGGGAGATGCTTTCTCACTTCCCTCTCCACATTGTCTCCAACAAGTACACACTCCCTATAGCAAATTTTAAAAAGGGGGTTGGGGTTTAGTTTGAGAGATGTGCCAACTAGACTTCTAAGTGGAGTTGAGTCTGGCGTTCAGAGATGCCTGGACTGGAGATAGAAGGCGGGGAGTCGTCTGGACAGAGATGCTCTTCAGAA